AAAGGCGTGTCACCATGCTTGGCTATTTCCAATGTGGCCTTGAACTCACAGAGATCCAAAGGGATTTCTATCTCTGGAATGCCAGGATTAAAGGTGTGTGCTATCACCACCTACCTAGTGGCTTTTCTGTTCTCTGACCCCAGATAAGTTTATTAAGGTACACAATATTTTGGGGAAAACAATACCACCACAATTAAATTATAAAAAGAGTGATTATTGATTATTCTAACTTAACATTGAGATCTCCTTATAGGATTTGAAAGGACATTGGATAGGACTTGCTGAGTTTGAACAAATTAGTGAGTTGCCCATGTACCAATGGATGATGTCATACATATGCTCATATGGATAGCACTAACAGGACTTAGTGGGTTATGAAGACATGAAGTTGGGAGGGAGAAAAAAAGATATATTGAGAGGGAATGGGGGGAGCTGGAAAGAGGAAGTACAGGCTGGATATGACCATACTATATTGTATACATCTATGAAATTAAAAATATTTCATTGAATGAAGACAGATCTCACTCTGATACCTGGACAACACACACACACACACACACACACACACACACACACACACACACACGACATCTAAGAGATGAAAACAGTTATAAGATTATTTATATTGTGATAATCACCCATTTTCTGAATTACTCAGATTAAAAGTTTACTAAGTCACTCAAGTTTGTGATTTTGGTTTTGAAGTCAACACTATTGTCTACTACTTATTTCTGAAAATGTCTTGGTGGATACTTTATTTAGCCTAAACAAATTCTTCATTTCTGAAGGTCACAGAATATAGAATTTCTTTAGGAAAGCCACTTACATGTGAAGATAAAGACATTCACTTGCCTGGTCTTCAGAAAGGAAAAGGAATTTTGTACTGATGTTCTTCCTCCAAAATTCAAGAAATGATATAACAATTTTCTTTGAAAAAATAACATAGAAATCTGGAGAGATAACCCAGTGGTTATGAGTGCATACTGTTCTTGGTGAGAGATGGTTGGAAATGTTTTTCCAGTGCCTGCCTCAGGCACCTACAACTCCTTGTAATTCAAAGTCCAGAAGATCTGGTGTCCTCTTTTGGCTTCCATGGGCACACATGTGTCATATGCACACACAGAAACACACATTTGCACATCATTTTAAAATATGTCTTTAAAAAGTTTTTAGAACAAAAAAAAGTGAAGAATTTTTCTCTATCACAGGCAAATGGATGTGCTTTATCTATACATTTTTAATAAATACAATTTAAATGCCACACAAACATAGTCTCTTAATTCCTTGATTTCATCAGGTATTTAAAATGGTAATAGCTCTAAATAATTCCATGGTTCACCTGGAAAACTGTTTCATTTGCTCTATCTGTTTGGTTGAATCACTTTCTGCAGTTGACAGTGTCCTTCTAACGTGACTCCATCAGGGAACATGTGTTAGGTTACTTTCTCAGTGTCTCTGGACAGTCTGTCCTGACTTCCAGCACAGTGTTGTTTGGAATGACAAGCCTCTCTCCATGCTCATGTTCCTCTTGTGTTGCTTCATGTGACATTCTATCTCTTGGGATTACATCGCAGGTATGTGACTATGATATAGATATGTCGATGTATCAAAGTTTTCCTCATCAGTCCAACAACAACTCTGGTTTACTACAACAAGTAAAAGCTCATTCATAAGAAAGGGGGGGCAGGTGGTTTCGGTACTAACAGGTACTTATCTGAGTTATTTTATTTCTCCAACCTACCTCTTTTAAAATATCCACAGAAAACGAACTTCCTCCCCCTTTCTTTCTCGTTTCTCCTCTCTCCTCCACTCCCCTATGCTCCCTCCTTTCCTGAAAAATTCACTTTGTCTTTCATGTTCTCCTTTCATTATGTTGTCAAATATATGTAATATACTGAAAACTAAAGCTTCTTATTTCATCTAATGTGGTCTGTTTTCAATGCATTTCTTTTGACATTAGAATCAAAAGAATCACACCTGTTGCAGGAATGTTTCTAGGTTATATATAAACAAATATAATATCAACATATCCACTCAATATAAACTATATTTGGTTGTCATAGATTAAAAACTAGATAGCCTCTATCAAACAACTAGAATTGGATATTAATTATAATCAACATTTTACAGAAAAACTCATGTTGCTTTCTGGATAGTTGTCATTCCATGGGCTGTGTTATTTCAGATCAGTCTGTTAAAATATGCACTTATTTTCTTATCCCTCAAAATATTATGTTAAAACCATACCAAATTCATGGATGTATTTGTCAAAGACACAAAAGTATTTATTCTCTCAACTTTAAGGCTGTGTATATGAGAGATTGGGAACTAAAGAGTGTAGACCAAATGCCCTGTTTTGATAAAGAGCATTTTACTGAAAAACAACCACACTCATTTTTGCATATTGTCACTTGCTGCTCTGAACTCCAACACTGTGATCAAATAGCTCTGTCAGAGGCCACATGCAGTCTATGAAACCTAAAATATTGACTGTGGGTCTCTTTTAGAGGAAGCATTCAGCAATGCCTGATGTAGAAAATTAGCCTCTATTAATTTAACTGAATGTGAAAATATTTATTCAACAAATATTAGCAAGAATTTTCAAAGTTTCTCACATGGGAGGCAGGCAAATATTTTTATAATAAATCCTATAGTCAAGTTCAGACTGGCAAAAACATCAAGCATGTTAACTTATAGTTTTTGAAGAAAGCACTTAAATATTTCAACAATTCTTTTCAGGGAGGCATCTGAGAGATTTTTTTTTCCAATTCAGCTCACATATGAGACTTTACATTGCCACAGCCTCTTTGAACTCTCAGATGTCCTTGTGAGTGTCAACAGCAGAATCAAAATAAGAATTTCTCTTCACTTTGACAAAGAGAGGGCAATAAGCTCATGTTTGAAAATCTGACAACCACGAAATCCCTATTTGGTTCCAGGAGGCAAAAATTAATTTGGTGTGTTAGCATCATTGTTTCAATGCTGAACAGCTGCACAGATC